CGCCAGTGGAACCGCTACTGCCTCCCCGTCACCGCTGATGTGACCACGCAGCCATGGTGCGTCGCCGCATGGCTTGGCCACACGTGGCCACACCTCCTTCGCCATCCTCCACCCCAATCGTCACCTCGGCTAGGTCCACGGTAGTCTATTGATGCTCCCTCACTAGCCAGTTAGGTTCTTAGGTGCTTTGGATCGTCGGGGCAACTACGCCGCCGCCGCAGACGGCCGCACATCACTGTAGCTCGCTCCAGCGCGTCCCACCACCCCGCGTTGCTGCTTAGTGTAGGCGGTTGGACTGTAGTTGAAGGTCGACCCGACCGACGGGCCAGCGCGAGCCTCTGGTGGTCGGCACGGTCGCGCCGTGTCATCGCCCGTCGCTCCACCGTGCGCTGAGTCGTTGGGGATGCGCGCGGGTGAATTAGGGAAAAGTTAGGGAGGTTAAGTGAGAAGGTCTGAGAGAGAAGAAAATAATGTTAGTACTTAGTTATAATTTGAGAGGGGTTCGATGTCTCTTTTACAAAATCTCCAACGCGCGGGGGACTCCTCCACCTGGGCCTCATGCAATGCGGCCGACCCTCGCATGGGCCACCCAGTGAAAGGCTTACACCTTACATGTGTGTGCATGTGTCAGCGCATTTGGGCCTGTGGAGATTTAGTTTTCTTTTTCATACGAAATTAGCAATGGTTTTCTAATTTAATTTTTGAGCTGGTCTTTGGTAAATTATATAAAATCATGTAGGTGTCCAAAAATTGTGAAATAAATTTTGTTAAATTTCTAAAATTGTGCTCTATCGGTTGGTGTATTTAGTTCATGTTTATATGTGTTGACATTAGAAGCTATTAAATCATTTTAGGATGCTTAATAATATAAAGTTAATTATTGTAGAAATTTTTATGGTAAATTGATGATAGCTTTAGTCCTAAAAATTTTATAGTAGCTTCATTGTAATATTATGTGTTCACTGTATTTTTTGTAGCCTTAGAATAGACTAAGCATTAGGGTAGTTAAATGCTCTTTGTTTCAATATACATTAAATCATTAGTAGAAATAAAGATATACCCTTAAATTACAAAACTGAGTGTTTGTTAGTTGAATCCAACACCTTGCTTGATGAAGATGATAGTCAGCTTAGTATCTTAGTCATTAGAGCTAGTTTAGTAGCTTGGTATGTGCATTCTTAGTTTAAGAGTTGTTGTTGCCTGAATGCTAAGTGTTGTATCATCATCGTATGCATGTAGAGAACGAGTTGGCGGAGATCGTGACCACCGACGATCACGAGTTTGAGGAGATCATCGAGGAGTACGAGGAGATTCTCGTGCAAGAGAAGGTCCCGGAGCCACCACTGACTGACTCAGCAGACACCGCGCCTGCCCAAGCCAAACCCCGGTGCATAACCTCTATTTTATATTTCACCGTATATATATGTGTTGTGCATTTATATTACAGGAATTTTATGGAAACCACATGCATAGATACACCTGTCCTAAGAGTCTTACTAGTGTAGGTTCGAGTAGATGCTATGCTTAGGTTATCAGTAGCGTAACCTACCGTTGCTCACAATAGGGGATTATTATTACTCTCATAATAAAATGATAAAAGGAAAAATGGAGACAGGGTAGGGATATTGTATGGGTATTGGTGGGTGTAACAGGTTGTGCCCCGCGACCAACGGGGCTTAGCTTGGGTTACACTGTTTTTTCTGTTTGTGTCGATTAAGAATCGTCTGTTACTGTGGATGGTAGTCAGGTCACAGACTTGTTATCCTGAGCACATACTTGCTTATGGGAGCGGGAAGGCTCGTTACGCTCTTGTCATAGGTTCCGACTCTTTCTGGACCGACTGATTAGAGGCAGGAAAAGGTGGAGGTCTAAGCACCATACTGAGACCGGGTATCAAGTGGAGGGGCTTGGAGTCCAAGTTTGGACGGGGACCAAGACCCCGTGACAGGAGTGGAATATGTTGGTCTTATTTGTGCTTGGGGTACAAATGGGGGCGTGTGTTTCGGGATACCCAGTTGGGATACATTGGTTCGTGAATCGTTGTTTCTGTGAGACGGTACGACTTGGCTATGGTCTAGCACCGTAGTAAGAATTGGAAGATGAAAGATGGTGAAATAGTTCTGATTGCTTGACCCTTGCTTGAAAGTAGAATAGATGCTTACCTAAAATGGTTAGCTAATAAAGTAATCATGACTGCTAATTAAACTTGATCTTAAGGATATACTTCTAGTAATGCTTTTCGCAAATAAAAAGAAAACATCAAACTTATATTGCCTATCATATCTTTGAGAGTTGGAAAATTATTCCCACTAGTCGGGTAAGTCTTGTGAGTACATTGTGTACTTAGGGTTTATTTTACCCCTGTTGCAGGTGCAGCTTGAAGAGTAGCTCTTGTGTGGAGAATTCTTCTAGTGGGCATAGACGGATCCTTGTATCATTTTCGCTAGATGTTTATTTTCATTTCAGCTGTTTAATTATCGTACTCTGAACTATGGTATTGTAATAAATAATTTTCAAGAACTCTTGTTGTATGAAATGGACTAAGTGTTGTAAGCTCGTACTCATTATTGGATCTTGGCGGTAAAACATGGATTGTTTCGAGTTCTTCCTTGGGATGGGCTCGACGAAACTGTCCGATGTAGCTAACTTTTCAGGTGCTTAGTGTCTAGTGAAAGACGAGCGCCTCTGAAAGCATGTTATTTCGGACGGTTCTACTATAGGAACATGGTAACTAAGATGGTATAGACAAAACATAACCTATAAATAATTTTACAACCCTAAAAAGAAATTCCATATATCCATCTTCCCCTCGTCACCCTGATTGTTTAAAAGATGCTTAATTGTTCAAAAGATGCTTCTATCAATTCCTAAGCATTACCTGAAACATTAATCAAACAGAAAGCTAAAAAAAATAGATGTCGCATTATTATGTGTTATTATCCATGAGGTGATCATGTAGCCAACTGCTTGCTTAATAATTTTTAGATGGTTGATGTTGCTTTTTATCTACATTTTTCTCTCTGATGGATCATCCCCACCAAATATGGTGAAAGTGCGAAATTAATTCTTACATCTTAAACTTGGCAACGATCAAATTAGACAAAGGAAGAAATCATCACAGGCAATAAACAATACCTCTCTTTGGTGCATGGAAACTACACAAAGCAGAAGAGGTAGGAAGAAATGCACGGAAACAGATGCAACCATTGAGCATTGCTTTAACTAGCATTGAACATGTACAAAGATAGTGTCAACTTTGGGCATAATGGTTGGTTCAGTTGTGAGCATTGCCTCAATCATAAAAAAAAAAAAGATATGAAATGTGAAAAGGTAGACCATGATAATTGCATGAAACATCAAACATAATTTATGCTGCAATCATCACAACACTAGCAATTTGTCTCAAAGCAAAACATAACATGAATAGGAAACCGCATTCATCACTATACATGACCAAAATGGAAACAATAAATCAAAAACCATCGGTACATGGTCTCAATCTTTATCTTACACTAAGAAATCAAATAAATATCACAGACACGCGCCCTGTTCACTTGAGCTTGTTTGGCTGATAAGCCATGGTTAAAAGTACTGTTGGTTGATTTGGTGTGAGAGAAAAATAATGTTCGTTAGCTGAAAAAATACTGCTTATAAGACAAACAAGCCCAAGCGAAGCAGGATGATGGTCATGTGCTCAGGTCTATTGCATAATACATGCCTACTCTCAAAATCCAGTGGAACCCAGCAGGTCGCAGCCTACAAAACCAAAAAAATGGCAGTTAGATTGGTAAGAGAAAAGAGGGAGAATAGTAGACCTAGGGGGAATTTGATCTTAGAACAATAGATGCAGGATAAAATCAAATAGAGTAAGGATAGAGAGGAGGGAAGGAAACCAGCGAGCGGCCTGATCGAGGGAAAGCAGAGCCGTGCCGATCGTCTGCTGAGGAGCGCTTGGGGGGGGCGATGCATGGCGCGCCTGCTGCTTTCGACCATGGCTGCAGCGCCACCACTGCAGGCTTGAGAGCCACCAGCGTCATAGGCCCAGCTCTCCTTGGGGGGGGGGAGGGGGCCGCCCGCATAGGCGCTGTCGCCTCGCGCCCGTCGCTGCCTCGGGAGGGAAGAGAGAGAAAGGGGAGAGAAACGGAGTGGGAGGCAGGTGAGGGAGATATTTTCTCCTCCAACCAATAACATGTGGACACACTGTGTGCTACAGTAAAGCGATGGTGGGGGTAAAGATAAACCACGGATCGAGAAATCAACGCTGTATTTTTTTTTTTTTTTCTATCGTGGACCGTCTGGTTGATGGCCATACTAACCTGCTTTGAAAAGAGTAGATTCAACACAACCGTAGCTGGATCAGTTAGCACAGCAGGTGTACCGCAACATAAGCACATGGGGCGAAATTAAGGCTTGATCACGATCCCAGTTCCCATCCATGGAGACCCCGTACCGACCGATCGATTGCCCAACTTCAATGCCACTGTGGCCTTCAACAACTATCAACAAGCGAGTGTCCAAATCCCAGCCTCATCTGAGTTCCGAAACGACAACATAGCCAGATCACAGTCAACATGAACATGGTGCTCGGGGTGCTCTGCAATCCCATCGTGGAACCATCTCTCATTTCATCGACTGTCAAAACACAACCTGGACAGCATCGTCGCCCTGTTCGTTTAGAACTTGAAGTACTGTTGATTGATTTAGTGTGAGAAGAAAAGTACTATTCGTTGACTGAAAAAGTATGACTTATAAGCCAAACAAACCCAAACGAACATGGTGCATGCCACTGGAATGAATGCCATTTCTGTTGTCCAAGTAACGTGGAGATGCAGATTGTGCACTCACTCTCAAGGTTTTTCTGTGCTCGGGCCTCAGTCGACCCAGCACCACCATGCTCTTTACATCAGCTGCATTTGCTGTGGATGGCCTGCGTGTACAATTGTACATCACTGCGTTGTCCACTAACACGCTAACACGTGTCTCCCCACCGGAACGCTGCCATGGCGGGCAACAAGTTCTCGTCGTACCACCTCGCCGCGGCGCTCCGCCGCGAGCTGGACCCCGCCGCCGCGCTCCGCCTCTTCCTCAACCCTACTGCCTCCGCGACGCCGTTCCGCTACTCCCTCCGCTGCTACGACCTCATCATCTCCAGGCTCGCCGCCGCGCGCCTCTTCCCGGCCATGGAGTCCATCCTCTCCCGCCTCGCCTCCTCCTCCTCCTCGGGTCCCCGGCCCCGCGAGCAGCTCCTCTGCCGCGTCATCTCCGCCTACGGCCGCGCCCGCCTCCCCGCCGCCGCGCGCCGCGCCTTCACGCACCCGGCCTTCCCCGGGCCCCGCACCGCCAGGGCCCTCAACACCCTCCTCCACGCCCTGCTCGCCTGCCGCGCCCCTCTCCGTGACCTCCTTGCCGTCTGCCGTGACTCTGGGGTCCCGCCGGACGCGTGCACCTATAACATTCTCATGCGAGCGGCGGCCGCGTCCGGCTCCCTCGACCACGCGCGCCACCTGTTCGACGAAATGCTGCGACGGGGCATCGCGCCCACTGTAGTCACGTTCGGCACCCTTGTCGCCGCGCTGTGCGATGCTGGCCTACTGGAAGACGCGTTCGAGATGAAGGAAGTGATGGTCATGCAGTACGACGTGTTGCCGAATGTTTATGTGTATACAAGTCTGATGAAGGGGCTCTGTGAGAAAGGGGATGTGGATGCCGCGGTGAGACTCAAGGAAGAGATGGCAGGGAAGGCAGATCTTGTGCTGGATTCTGCTGTATATGCGACGCTTGTGCGGGCGTTGTTCCGGGTAGGACGGAAAGGTGCGGTTGTTGGATTGCTGGAGGAGATGAAGGGGAAAGGGATTGTGGCTGATAGGGTGGTGTACAATGCGATGCTTGCAGGCTTTTGTGAGGATGAGAGGGATTTTGGTGCTGCATTTGCAGTGCTTGATGACATGCAGAAGAATGGGTGCAAGGCGGATGCAGTGAGCTATAACACATTGGTTGCAGGGTTTTGCAAGTTGGGCCGGTGGCGGGATGCGAGTGAATTGGTTGAGGATATGCCAAGGCAGGGGTGCCATCCAGATGTGGTGACCTACAGAATGCTCTTTGGTGGGATGTGTGCTGCTGGGGAGTTTCTTGAAGCAAACCAGGTTTTGGATGAGATGGTTTTCAAGGGTTTTGCGCCAAGCAAGGATGGTGCACAGAAGTTTGTCCAGGGGATTGAGAAGGAAGGAGATGTGGTATTGCTAGAGTCAGTGTTGTGCCGACTAGCGAAGGTGGATGCTTTGGTGTCAAGTGGATGGGAGAAAGCTGTAAGTGGTGTGCTGAATGATCCCACAGAGTTGAGGCTAGAGAAGCAGCTTGATTCTTTAAGAATTGCTTGATTAGACACCATAGTGGGTTTGATCAATTGAGTAGCGAAAAAGTGGCAAGCATGGTTTCTAAAGAAACCAAGTTCATCTGTTGTACAAGGCTGCCTTGCAGGTAGTCTTACCCAATTCAGGTTAGTTCCTTGCAGGTAGTATTATTAAATGCAGAGGAAGATTAAAATGGAATCTAAGTGTGCGACTTATTTGAGTGAAGTTAATTTGGCATTAGATTCGAATATAGGATGGATCTATCGCAAAAAAAGAATCTTCATGTTAGCACATAGATGGTCATATATATATTTTAGTTTTTGTGGTATGTTTCTAAATATATTGTTATTTTGTTCCCTTGCGGACAATAATGTGTTTTTTATAAGGATAATGTGTTCTTTTGAATACTAATATACTTCCTCCTATCACTTGTCGTTTGAGACAATGATTTAGACTCCACTTTCAAAAAAAAAAATGATTTAGACTTGCAAACAGCTTTGTAGCTTGTTTGAAACAAGTAAAAGTGAACGGAGGGAGTACTTGTTAACATTTCAACACACTTTTCCTCCGGTCTCTTCTGTAAATAACTCCATTTTCATTAGCTAAGGTGATTTATAAGGGTGTTTGGTTTGAGGAACCACTCCATCCTAAGTAAGGTGGTGCATCATGAGTTGATTCCTCAAATTTGGTGGAATGGCTCCATTCCTCATACTAGTATTAATTATTGACTTATGAGGAATGAGGTGATGATGCATCGTCCTATTCCATTCCACAAACCAAACAAATAAAGTGAGGAATGAGTAGATGATGTACTAACTCAATTCTTCATACCAAACACCCCCTTAGTGCATGGGACAGGAGAAGATGATGTAGTAGTTTATTCCTTTCCAAAATAGCAAACATTTATGTGTACATAACATAACAAAACTGAGGGACAAGTCATTTTTGCCAATTTCCATGCTCTCGAAACTATTCGAGTTGGACAAGTTAATAGAAGTTTGCTGTAGGAAGAATCACGAGAAAGATTGTAACATATTCTTGATTCTCGGTTCACCAATTAGAGGCATGCTCCACTAGGGAAGATGTTTTTGTCTTATGATCTAAGAGTATATGGCTCTAAATTCCTTTAAAGGGCGTACTCAGTGCAGAGAGCTCCCGCTCTGTGCGGGGTCTGGAGAAGGGTGTAAGTGGCAAGCCTTACCCTCGCCTGTGCAATGCGAGGAGACCGCGACTCGAACCCGGGACCTTCCGGTCACAGGCGGTAAGACTCTACCGCTTGCACCAGGCCCGCCCTTCCTCTAAATTCCTTTAGATGTAGCATATTGCTGTATTGAGTTGTGTAACATATACCTGGGTAGGTTTTGATGAGTGTAACAGTAGCAACATGAAAACAGAAAATAAGTGGAATATAAAATCCATAATATATTGAATTATCATGCATTCAACAGAAGCTTCATGTGTCCAATTTCTGTGTCAATAAACATCTGTTTGATTTTGTAGAAGAGAATGCTCATCACCAGATCAAAAAGAGCAACAGGTTAACAGATGTGTACAACTTTTACTACCTTGTGAAACATTGGGACTGGAAACTACATCGCGGAACTCTCTACCTTGTGAAACATTGGGACTGGAATCTACATCGCGGAACTCTCTACCTTGCGAAACATTGGGACTGGAATCTACATCGCGGAACTCTCTACCTTGCAAAACATAGGGAGTGGAATCTACTTCTGCAGTGACCGCTGTAGTTGTCTACTTGTCTATCTGCACAAGGACCTGAACTTGGATATGTACTTTGTCGCCTCAACTATGAGGTTAGCTACTCCTGTCACCCCACCTCACTGAACCTGAGGGTTTTGGCACTTGACATGTTGGAGTATCGGTTCCTTCACCTGCAGCATTTTCATGGAAAATTACAGCTCAGCGTTCATGCTGTCATGCAGTAGTGATGTTGGGTATAAGATGAACATATTGATCTTGTAGGATTGAGTTATGTGTGACTTATGCTCATTTCAGAGAAGAAATGTGGAGTTTACCATGCTAGCCTTCCTGGATCGCTTGTCCTGGGTAGACTGCATCTCACTTCCACCAGTTAGAGACCTTTTGATTCTCTTTCCAAGCACTCCACTCTCCAGGGAACAAACAGGTACAGCCGGCTGCAAGAAAGTTTCAGACAAGAACATTTAACACAATATTTTAGATCACCAAAAGACCCTAGGCTGTAACATTTCTTGACTACTGGGTGATCAGATTGTGTATATACCTCACGCACACTTGTGGGAGTCCTGCTTGGATCCTTACCCACTGCAGAAGCTTCTTGCCCGCTCTGCATGGACACATTCTGCTGCAGCTCTGGTAGCTCCCGAGTACGAGTAAGATCAGATCCAACTGAGTGGAAGCAACCCATCGTGGAGCCATCTCTCACTTCATGGTCTGTGGAAAGGACGGCATCATGTCACTGAGGCAATGCCAATTCTGTTGTCAAAGTAATGTGAAGATGCAGATTGCTGTTAACACTTACCTCTCAGAAGGTCTTTGTGCTCAGGCTCAGCATGCTCTGTATTGGTGTCAATGGCCTGCATAATGTAGCAGTATTTTAATTGATTTGTAGGGCAATGTAATGCCACAATGAGCAGTTAGATACTGCTAGCGATACAGCAATCTTATAGGTACATGATATGCTACCATCTGTTCGCCTTCATTGGCTTGCAGTATCTTTTTTATCTCAAGGAGCCTTCTGTTAGTTGATTCAGAATGAATGACAGCTTTGCCTATAGCAGCATAGTAATATGGTTAGTAAAAAAACAAAAGATATTAATGGGTATCACTGTATCACATAGCACGGTAGAATCATTCCATTTTTCCAAGTGGTTTTAGATGATTGATATTGGAAGTTAGACAACATCAGGCATCCTGACTCATTATCTTCTAACACATTAAGTTGTAAACTTGTAATGCCAAAATCCGAGCTGAGATGCATAATTCTCAATGAGTTCCATAAACAAGTCTTAGTTTTAACTAAAACAACAGATTCCAACCTCAAGGAAACTTGTCCAGGAATTCTTCAAATAATGCAAGTGGTCGCCATGCATATTGCAGTTATTTCAGGTTCAGTTGTCCCTTTGTAGAAAATGTGATTATGATTAAGAATAGTTTATTGTGAGTTAAATTACTTCAACACACAGCTCACTGGACTGCCACTCCACCAATAAACAAACATAATAGATGAACCATTCAGTAAAATACTATAATTGTATAATGCATTCAGGACTTTCTGTGTACAGATTCAATCAATTACCCAGTCTTCGGTTAGCTGAATTCTTTACATATCCATCTTGCACCATCTTGTCAATCAACTTTCGGACTATATTCTGGCTGGCTTCCCCATCTAGCTTTCCTTGAAGTTTGGCTATTGTCACATAATCCATGGGAAGTGCATGATATAATGCCTGTAATATTATCTTATATCAGCAGGTGACATACGCAGACAAAATCTAGGGGTCAAAGAAGGTTCACCTTCATATATAGCAGATCCCCATTGTTGTGTTTGGTTACTTCAGTTGGTGGTACATCTGCCATGATGGTCTCCTTCTTTATATGCGGTGTTTTTGGATCAGTCTTCTGAAAACGTTCATATGTCTTGTTAGTGAAGGCAGTACGTAAGAGAATAACATCATAAGATATGGTAAACAAAAGCAGTCCATTAGGCTGACCTGGTTAACAGTATAACCATCTTTGCTTGCCCTGGATAGTACACCATCTTTAAGTAGCCTCTCCATAATATCTGAAAAATCAATCATTAGCTACTAATTTAAGACTTCAACAGGAGCGAGGAAGGGCTGATTTTATTTCCTGCATTACCTTCAACCAATTCCTGCAAAATATTCAACAAAAGGTTGTCAAAAATAGGCCATACAACTCGTGTGTGCATTTCAATATGGGTTGATTTACATGCGTTAGTGTACCAGGATAAGTCTGTCACTTGCTTTGAAATCTAGCAACATATGGGACAATAGTTAATTACCGTTGCTATGTCAGGGAAGTTAGAAAGGACATCTGAAACATTAATTGCTCCGTTGTCTCTTGAGCATATCCAGTCCTTTACTTGGGAAGTTAGCTCTTCCTCATGAGCAGCATCTTGAGTATCATCTGCAAACATAGAAAGTCAGAGGAGCAGATGTGCACGGACAACTATAATATATCAAATTCCCAATTACCCAAGACATACGAACACATTACTAAATTAACAAGATGTGTCTCTCTTAAGTAGTAAGGAAGAATAAATCTATGCATTGCAAATGAAGCTACACAAACAAAATATACCTTCTGAAATAGTACCAGTGCCCTGACCTTTGCTTTTTCCATCTGTTAGAAAATTTGTATTAATAATTACAGAAACAGCAAATGCAAACATAGCTGAGGACATGCTTACCATTAGGAGCTATGACGTAATGATCCGCCTTTGATGGATGAACCTAACACAATCAAAGATAATGTCAAGCAACACTTCAGATAAAAGGAACATAATTTATATAGGTATAGAGTTAAGTATCTTTATGTTAGGAACACACTAGATTGCTAATTAATGCCACGGCACTAGTAATATATCATAGCATTGATCTGTTTGTTCTTCACCTCAGTGTCAGAAAAGTCATCATCATGATCAGACTCATTATCCACAGTCATTCCATCATCTCCGCTGTTAACATTGTCATCATCGCATGGATCAAGGACACTCTTGACCTTCACAGGAGAACAAACTGTGAGAAGCATCATCTTTAATTCAAAAATAAAAGGTCAAAGGACCTTCTGCCTCATTTCCCTTTACCTTCAAAGCTAACACAAGGTGCTTGCTATTGACATTGCCCACTTCCATCTTCAAGGGGTTCTTGTTCCATATATTTATGGCCTCATTATCAGCACAACACTTGAAGAAAGGAGGCTCATAATCCTCAGGCTGCCAGTATGGAAAAAAGAAGCTGGGTTGACTTCTACCAACAGATTCAAGAAGAACAAGAGAATTTATCTCCTCATTTATTGAGAGCAAAAGAACAAGGTTATCTGCTGTGGCAGACCCCAAGTATCGATATGGACAAATAAATAAACAGAACAAAAGTTATACTCACTGTGGCATCATCATAGTACAGCAGCTTCATTAGAATGGTTCGCTGAAGAACAGACCCCAGTTTCAGATCAGCGCAATATATTGCAAATTCTTAAACAAATTACACGATGTCTGAAAATACCTCCTCTGGCATTGGGTCCAAGGTCCTCATAAGTGAAACCAGCGTTCTGATCATCTTACAAGCAGAGCTCCTGAAAGAAAACCATATATCAGGATATGATCATCACATATTAAAATTGTCATTTTCCCACCCAACAGGCACATTGGATAAAAAACATGAATACATTAATTGATCTACAGATGCACTATAGACCCATTATACAAGGATGATGACCTTCATTACTAGATTTCTGTAAGGCAAGTCAAGAAAACTAAGAGCAATATATGGCACCTGCCACCTGGTCTACATAAAAGTGAACTAAAAGGTATAATCTGTTCATGTTTTGATAGAACTGTGTACTTTTATCATAGCCAACAGATAGATAATTAACCCCATATTGTTCAGCATGTTCTTACACAGCAAAACCATAATGTTGAATTGTTTCAAATCATAACATTCTGAATGCAACATAGCTCGTTTACAAAGACTGCATGCTCATGCAAGAAAATTAACATCCAAGGTAAGAGAGTACCTCATCTGATCAGGAGTTACTTCTGAAGCATTTGAAGTGAATGTAGTACTACCCTTTTTGCTCCCTGTACGGCTCATGTTCATCGCAACTTCCTCGGTACTGGTGTTGGGGTAGCTAAATGAGACTGTAGGGAAAGAACAACACATAAGAAGCCCCCAATCCAACCTGATATGCAATTCCACAGGGTGAAACTTACAGGCATACTCCTCAATCATCGGGCCTTCCTCCTTCTCACAGATACAAAAGAGGAGGGTCTTGAGATATTTCTTTTGCAAAGCATCATAGACACCTAAAAGTTTGATTCCATAAGTTGATCACATAAGAAAACAAGGGCAATAGTGTCACACACGATACATACAACCTCTGTTCTTAAATAATATGCTGTAGAATACATAGAAGTAGAATTTTCCTCAAACGTACTATGATATTATTAAATTTTTAAGACAATTTGTCCAAGTAAGTTAGAAAAAAAATTGAGAGATGTGCTTATCATGTCGATGTCCAAAACAAACAAAGTACAACAGACTTTTTTAGAAGTAAATGAGATAGGTAGCAATTGTTAAGTAGTAGACAATGAATGAGCTCAGGACATGTTTCACCTTTCTCCATCCAATCAATCAGTCTCCTTGACTCAGCATCCATTGGCATCAGCTTCTTAATCTTCATCTCTGCAGCAATATAAGTGTTTTTTAGGTAAAATGACAGCAGCTGTTGATTTGGACATAGATACTATACTTGAAGTTATTGCCAATTCTAACCTAGTGCTGGAACCGACTTATCACTGAAGTACTTCTCATGGAATAGGCCTCTGATGTAGCTGATGTTGTATATGGCAATTCGGAGCAAATTCCTTGTCTGTTGGATAAAAGTAACATCATGTTATCAGAAATATCCAAACAAAAAGCAGGCTATCTTATGATTTCTCACACCAGATACATGTTGAAAGAAATCATTGAACAACCATCAACTCATAAAACGTTGAAGCCCCTGAAAAAAAGAATCGCAATGGACTACAGTGTTCACCAAAAGAACACAACATTGGATGAGTTGTCTTTCAACAGTGAAACACAAATTGAGGGGCAACCAACAAACTTTTTTTTATCACAAACAGACATGTATAGTATGATTGTATGAAACATTTTTCAAGAACATATGAAAGTGAACTAATGCCTGTAATATAAATGGTGTTGTGATGATTCGAAGCATTATGCAACTGCAGCTAAAAGCATCACACATCCAGAATTCTATCCAAAATTATATCACATTCTGGAAACATAATGGAAGCATTCCAAACAAACTGCAACTGATTGCACATACACAAAGGTATAGGATAACACAAACAAGAGTAATCTAATTGGAAGTAAACCACACAACTTTTTCAAGTAGATAATGCAGCTATACCAAACCAAGCATTATTGAACACAGCTGTTATTCTTCATATGGTTACCAGAACTCTGCTGTAACGCATAGAAGAAATTGATATTGCTAGAGCACACTAGGAAAGGTTAACAAGCTCTTATGATTCCACAGCAGAGTATATTCTGATACAAGGCAGCAACCAGTTAGAAACTGTGCAAGAGTTTATGATCCCAAAAAACTAATGCAGAAATATGTACTGTTTGTTACAAACCCAAAGTAGAAATCAAAATATGTACTGCCATGAACATGGACATTGATATTGTCGAACTAAAGATCAAATAAAAGCTGTGTTTCTGTTGAAGATATGTTAGGACATAAATATGTCACTATCCCACGTGCAAACATAAGTAAGAAGGGGAAATTGGTACTAGTGAAACCTGCTCCTCAATCCACAAAAATTATCGCGATGGAGGGCTAAATTAATCAACACAACCTGAGTGGGTATTAAATTGATTGATAATTTTTTAGAGGCTCCTGGAGAAATAATTTGCAGCCATCAGAAGTACTAATTTCTCAGAAAAATGAAACGATGAGAAACAGTGTAAGCACCAAAAAAAAATGATAGGCATGTATATATGCAATGCAGACTGATTTGAGATCTAAACGCAAATTAACAGGTCCTTACTTCCCAACAACCAAGTTGAGACGATTTACTGGAATCCACCTTCTTCTATCAGTTCAAGAACTAGCATTCTAGCAATGTTCCAAAAGAAATGAGACCGCAAACAAAAGAGAAGTTCCGCACTAGTTTTAGACCGAATCGACCAGGAACCTAGTAGACCCGGGGCGACGCTTCTAAATCGGTGAAGGAATTCGAACAAGCAAGCAGCAAGAAAAAAAAAACTACCAAATACATGTGTACCAGCCATGAAATCCATCCGAACAGCCAAATTTATCCACAATTTCGCGAGTGTTTCGCGGAGAACTAGGGACGAAACGTAATTTGAGTTATCTAGAAGCTACTGAGCATGCTCCGAACCGACCAAACTAGAACCATTGGGAGGAGAAACTAGCAGAGACCAGTGAGACCCCAAAACCCCACTGCTCGAGCATCAAGCGCGCTCAATCCGCGCACGAGAAACGGGTAAAACTGAGAAACAAAATCCACCAACAACCCCGCAAATGCAAACCAACTTGATACGCGAGCATGTAAATGCTCGAATCGACCCCAATTTGATCGAACAAGCCCATGACGAAACCCTTGTGCAAACACGGGTCAGAAATCACGAACACCTCGATCTAACAACAACGATTCGATCGGCCGGGAGCCGCCCGAAACCACTCGAATCGCACGGAATTGAAGTTGACGCGGAGAAGGGCGAGGAGATGAGGAGGAGACTTACTAGAAGCAGCGAATCCTGCTCGGTGATCTCCGCCTCCTTCGTCTTCTGAGCAATCACCTGCATCGGAGCGGCACAACCACGATCAGGGCACACACACACCCCTACAAGCGAAGGATGCGAAGCACGGTGTAGGCTGAGAGATGAGAGCTCACCATTTTGCCGGGTCTGCGCTGCTTGCGCGGCGCGCGTGTGCCGGGATGAGGCAGTGGGGAGAGGAGGGTGGTAATGGTGTGGTGCGGGATTTGGGGGGTACTTATAAAGAGTGGGGTTGATGGCCGCAGCCCGCAGGCGTGGGGCAGAGCCGTGGACGAGAAGACAAGAGGAGGACGTCTTTTCGTTTGAAATTTTGAATTCTGGAAACACGCGTGGTTCATCAGGTTTTACTCTGTGTGCGAGATTTTACATTGGATTCCCCTGCACATTAAAAAGATTTTGTTAACTCATAATATTACTTGCCAATGCGTACTGGGATCCAAAAAGTTAGATCAGTTTAACGTTTGTATGTAAAATCGTTTATTTACCATGCATGTAACTCGTTTGATCCATCTTCAACGTTTGTTAGTTACTACACATTCAAATTCATTGACAATTGCAATATTACATGTTCAATGTATAATGTACCTTATAGTACTACCTCCATCCCAAAAACTGTCATTCTAGTTTTGTTTTGACTTTTGACTCCTGAGTCAAACTATTTAAATCTGGCTAGGTTTATAGAAAAAAAATACCAATACCTATGATACCATATAATTATGAATAGATTTATTATGAAATATTTTTATGATAAAATGATTTTATAGATATTAATATTTTTTTATAAACTTGATTAAACATAAGATATTTTGATCTGGACAAAACCGAAACATCACTCTCTGCATGACAGAGGTAGTAGCACTGAGTAGCAATACATAACTGTTGATTCATGTAATCATGTTAACACTTAACACTGCCAATTCTCTTTTCTTTATTAGCAACAACCACCAAGCCTTTGAAGTCTACTTCGTTTTGGATATAGCCTTTGTAATGGTAACCTGGTAAGGCCATAGGTGAGTGAAAGGTTTCATTTGAAAGGCATTTCAATTTTTGCTAGTAAGTTTTCAAACTTTTCCTTTGTTTTTAAAGTTATTATTCTTGAACCAGCATATAGTAGAGTATTGGGCTCGGAAGCGCCCATTTTGCTCTTGGTTCGGTCTTGATATTCAAAAAAGGTGCCCATTTTGCCCATGGTTCGATCTTGCCATTCAGAAAAAGAAACGAAGACAACTTGGTCATGCGCCTATGCATCGTTTTTTTTTTCTCGTCTCAATGTCCTCGTGTTGGACACAAGAGCAAAATTAACATTTCGTACACCAAGGCTGTCAGGCTGACCCCTCTCATGACCCGTAGCCATGTGACAACTTCGAACAATTTGAATTTCGGATCCAAACTGAGCCTTGCATCAAACTTGTTTCCTTCCTGCTGGTCAGTTGGCCAAGCTGTGGGGCACGCAGCTGTCGACCGTGCACGCCAGGACGTCCTTGTAGCCCCTGGTGATGTTGAACGCGTCGTGCGCGGCGCCGTCGTCGCTGTGGATGAACTCCACCCGCAGCGACGAGTGGTCGGTCGCCGTGAGCTTCACGTAGACGAAGCTCTTGTCCCGGACCACGCTCCACTGCGGCCGCGGCCCCGCGGAGTAGTCCCGCAGCCTGGCGCCGCCCGTGCCGGCCACGACGTGGATCGTCCCGCCCATGGTGCCCGAGAAGCTTCCCTTGTCCTTGTTGCCGTCCATGCACGTGTTCTCGTACACGGGGCAGGTGCGCTCGTAGTTGTGGACGTGGCCGTAGATGGCGAGGTCGACGCGGTGCCCTGCAGCGTCCGCCCCATGGGCTCCGAGAAGGACCCCTCCGTGGCGTAGTAGTCGTTGGAGGAGTAGCCCAGCGGGCGGTGCGCCGCGAACACCAGCCACGGCTGGTGCTTCCGGTCCGCCGACGCGAAGCACCGGTCCAGGAACGCGTGCTGCTCCGATCCCGGCCGCCAGTCGTGCTCCGTGTCGCCGACGCAGAACCGGAACATGCCGTGGTCCGCCGCGTAGCAGAACTTGCCCCGGTTCTCCGCCGGCACGTAGAAGTAGGTCTCCGCCGGCACCCCGCACTCGCCGTGGGAGTCGTTGCCGTTGTAGAAACCCCCCGTGCCATGGTAAGTCCTCTCATGGTTGCCGCTGCACGGTGCACAAATAAACGCCTTTTTAGCTTCAGGGGCGACTGATCAGGATAGATCGATCGAACGAACCTTGCCACCATGTACGGCACCCTCGAGGCGATGGGCTCGATCTGCGCGGTGAACTGGTCCCACTGCGCGAGGAAACCATTGGCGTAGGAGAGGTCACCGATGTGGAAAACGGCGTCGTAGTTGGGCAGGTCCTTGATCAGCCGGTCGGTGGTCACCTGAGCACCGGGTTGGAAGCCGGCGAGTTCATTGGTTCCATCTCTTTGCCCCTGCCAAGTAGATCTGGGCATCGGGCCGGCCCGGCCCGGCACGGCACGGTCCCGGCACGGCACGGCACGATGGCTATCGGGCCAAGGAGGCACGCCTGCGTGCCTCGCGGGCCGCATGCCTCGTCGGCTCATGGGGCGGCGGCTTGGCCCGAGCCTGCAGCGCGGGCTGTGGGCCATTTTTTCGTGCCGCTTGGCCCGTGAGACACACGGCAAAAAATAGCAGCCGTGCCACCCGGCCCGTTAAATCTAAAACACCTCCAAATAAACATCTCAATCCATTTTTTTCAACCATGAACACATAAGTATGAATTTTGACCAACACAATTTTTTCACACTTAGCCATTTAGGAAACTTAGGCAATAAACAGCAGCAACAGCAAGACGAAGACAACAGATTTAAATATCAAAAAGAGCTGTTTTGTGCAATGCTGCCTCATTAAAAACCTACCTAGGTAAAACTCACCCTTGTGAGAAACCCTAGGCAGGAAAAAAGAGTGCAGCCAGCTCCAAATGTCTTAATCTTACATAGTTATTACAGACCATTGTTCAAATGTTCAAATGAGAACTAAGCAAGTGAGTGGGGGACACATCCACTCTCAACTCACACAAAAGTACTCCAACACTCCCAGCCAACCAATGCCACTCTCAGCCACCAGATGCATCATCTTCACCTTCTGGTTCATCCAGGAACAGATTCTCGAATGCATCTTCAATTTCCTTGGTATCAGCAGCTTCATGTTGTTCCCTCTTCTCTCCTAGCTCCCAGTCCTTTAACAAGGTCAGCATCTCAACATGTTCTGGTTTTAAGCTCCGGCGCCGTTCTTCTAGGATCCTCCCTGCTAAGCCTGAAACAAGACTCTGAAGAACAAATAGAAACAGGAACTGACATGATATCTCTGGCCATAATAGCCAGGATGGGATAGGTTAGTTTGTGGTCCTTCCACCACAGAAGAATGTCAAAACCATCCTCATAAGTAGTTATGCAGTCGCTGTCCAAATAGCTTGAAAGTTCAGAAGCAGTAGAGTGAGAAGAAGAACAGGCAGTGCCACTGGAATGACCAGGCAGACCTGATCCTCCAAAAATTACCTCCAAGCCTGTTTTCTCTTACCAGTGGGTGGGGTAGGACCAGCAATCCTTTGTGACCTGGTTGCACCAAATTTTCTCAAATATTTTTCAAACATTTTATGCAACTCAGTTTTCAAATCAACATAGTAAGTAGTGTAATCAGTACTAGTATATTCAGTAAGTAAATGGAGGACCCTTTGCATACCTCTGAGCTTAGCTCTAGGGTCAAGAATGAATGCAAATGAGTATAAGAGAGGAATGTCCTTCCAATACTTAAGAAATTTATGCTGCATAGGGTACACAAAGGGTCTAAGATTAACATCCCTTTCACATGCATGCAAATGGGTTGCAATCTCCAGAACATGGTGCAGCACAAGAGGACTGGTAGGATAATAAACACCAGACAGTGTAACAGTAGAGTCATAAAATACTTCTAGAAACTCCAATATTTTTCTAGCCACGTGCCAATGGGCTGGAGACAATAGTGCAGAACCATAATTTGAATTTATGAACACATAAAATACTTCACTCTAAGGAACCAAGTGTTTTAGCATGAGATAAGTAGCATTCCATCTAACATCCATATCTAAGCCAAATTTTCTAGGTCTCATACTTTTAGCTTCACAGTAGTTTCTAAACATAGCAATTCTTTGATTAGAGGAGTTCAAGAAATTAATTACAGTTCTAAAATCCTCTATATAAGGTTTGATTCTTTTTAGTCCAAATTTGACTCTCAGATTAATAATGTGACAAGCACAGCGTTGATGCACAAGACTGTAACCAGGTGCAGGATCACAACCAAGATAACCAGCAAACATGGGTGTCAAAGTTTTCATAACCTTAGCATTAGAAGATGCATTATCTAAAGTGATAGAAAAGATTTTATCAACCAAGTCATATTCCTCAACAACAGATGCAATGGAAGCAGAAATGTTTTCACCAGAATGCTTAACTTGAATCAACCTAAGACCAACAATCTTCTTTTGCAATTCCCAATCAGCATTCACATAGTGAGCAACAACAGATATGTAATCCTCTTTAGCATTACCAGACCATATGTCAAAAGTCAAAGCAACAGATGCAGAAGCATGCACACAGTTCCTAATCATAGCACGACGTTCAGCAAATAACTTATCCAGATCTCTAGTGGTGGTTCTTCTAGATGATCTAACAAATCTTGGGTTATGAGAATTTTTAATATATTCCTCAAATGCATCAGTGTCACCAAAACCAAGAGAAAGGTCAAGCCTAGCAATCAATCTACACAATTCAGTTCTAGCAACAGCAGGATCATAGTTCCAATTATGCAAAGACACATCAGCATTAAAAGCTAGTCGAGACTGAACCCTAGAAGCATTATCAAGTTTCATTTGCAAGATTTTTGGTGCCTAAGAATGTGATCAAGATGCAGCAGCAGATCTAGCACTCAACACAGTTCTACACATCTTACATATAGCTCTAACACGCACATCGACACCATTAATCTTCTCATAAACCTCCTCAAAGTCACCCCAGTACTTAGACTTGCGCTTACCAAGTCCAGAAACAGCACCAGAGGAAGGAGTACGAGTACCATTACCATCAGCATTACCATTAACACCGGTCTTTGTTGGAGTGGGCGTTGAGTCCACCATCCCCATCCCCTTGCTGTTCTGCGATCGACGGCATCGGCGTCGATCGCCGGTATCAGGTCCGCTGGTGGCGTCATCAAACACCGCAAAGGGGTCACGGCCGTCGTCGTCGTGCTCCGGGGACAGCCCAGCCGCAACCAAGTCATCGTCGCCAGTCACAGGGAACATGGCATTGTCGTCCTGCGGGTCACACGCCATGGGCCCCTCGGCCGCGGATGGCTGAACTCCAGCACCATTCCTCAATGGTGCGCGGCTACTACAACAGCCGTGGTAAAGTTATTGTTCGTCGTCCGTCTCACGCCAAGGCTAGTTGACGACGAGGCATCGGCAGCAGACCTGCAAAGAAAAAGAACACGAAAAGAAGAAAAGGATGAGAAAATGATCCCAAAAATAGAATCAAAACACTGAGAAACGTATAGATCTAGGGGCTAGGGTTAGGGTTACGAATGGGGATGGACTTGCCTACGCAACCGGAGCCCGGCGCCGGAGAAGACGAGGGCCACACAAGGACAAGACGGGATTAAGAAGGACGGCATCGACGAGCGACGGCGAAAGAGAGACGGGGAGGCGGACTCACATGTTCATCGACAAACAGAGGAGAAGGAGTAAAAAGGAAGACGGAGAGGGACTGAGGGAGCAGGGAACTTAGGGAGAGGTGATGGAGCGGCGGCGATATCACCGGATCCAAGGACGACGGTCGCACCGGCGGCGAAGATGGATCGACGAGAGGAGGCGAGTGGCGACGAGCGAGAGCGACGAGTGACCGAGCGGGTGTCGAGTGCGGCGGCGGTTGGGAGGGGAATGGGGTTAGGGTTAGGGTAGGGGTGGGGGCCGGGGGGGTCGCGGTTTATATATGAGGAGGAGGAGGGAGTTCTTGGGCTGGCGGCCGCCGGCCTGCTTGCCGTTGGGCCGCTACGGGCCTGCCGTTATTTTGCGGGCCGTGCCGTGCCGGCCTGTGGGCCTAGGGTGCGGCCCAAGCACGGCCTACACCCCCGTGCCGTGCCAGCCCGGGCCCATTGACCTTCGGGCCGGGCCGGGCTAGGGCCGGGCCTAAATAGCGGGCTCCGTGCCGGGCTCACGGGCTCGGGCTTTGTGCCCAGATATGCTGCCAAGTGAAACATGCGCATGCATTGTCATCTACACGTGCTGACTGTTGTACTGTCACTAAAGGAAAATAAATAAATCTGCAAAAGTTTGGTCAGAATTCCTACGAGTCCCATGTCACCGAAGACCACGACGCACTGGAGCGAGTCCTGGCCAGGGAAAGGCGATGCACGGAAGGTGGACGACTTGCCCCACACCACGGTTCCGTCTGGTAGCTCGTGCCCAATCTGATACGAATACCTGAACATGAATAGCATGATTTCAACTACCGAAACCACTCATTTAATTTGTAAGTACGCGCAACAAATTAAAGGGAATGCACATTTAGTTTGGCCATACTCTCCGTTCGGCCACAGGTCCTTCAAGAAGGCTGTGTGGTCTTCCGCATTTGCTGGTTTACCTGCAGTTTTTTTTTCGTCTCAGTAAAACATCGTCACCACTTAACCATCCAGCATTCAATCTGAATGTAAATTAACGTGCATCTAAGTCTACTTTTACTGGTAATATTACTTGCTTTTTATCTTCACAGTAAGGCCCCGTTCGCTTACAGCAGAATCACCCCAGTTATTAATCCAACTGATAAAGTTTATACAAATTTAGCTAACATTCCAGCCATGATTTTTTCTAGGTGATCATTCCAGGTGAAACGGACGAGGCCTAAACTATCTTTTTCACAACTTGAATGGAATGATTTCGAATTATATAGTTTGTACTCTAAAATTTAGTCAAAATTAGAGAAAATTAATTCAGAAGAAACAATAATTTAGAACAAACAGGGCACTTAATTCATACCACACAAGTGCCTCCGCGTGTAGGTGAGGGTGCCAGCGGGCGTCCGTTTCGAACTCTCCTCTCCCTTCATCTTCCACTCTACAAAGGGATAGGCTTCGTTGATGTTGTACCCGCTTGTCCATGTTACAGCCATCTGCATCGTATTAAAATCACACGATCACATTACTAAAAATGGCGATTACGTGCACGACCTTTTCAAACAAGAAAAAGAAATTGTGCTACAATTGTATGTAGGTTTGTAGCATATACATAGTGTGTGTTAACGTTAAGTAAGCCCACCTCGTTCCATTCTTTGCCTTGAGATAGGCGTGGAAACACAGGAGCTTTCGGGTTCGCGAAGGAGATCTTGTTTGAAACCGCAATGAATTTAGGCTACAATTAAGGGTAGGTGTATCAGATATTTAGCAGCAGCAGCAGCGGCGGTAGCAACAGCACGAGCAGCACATTCATCCCTCCAAGGCTGCAATCCGAGATAGACCATATTCAAATATGCAGTGTTCAATTTCCCTCCAAGGCTGCAATCCGAGATAGATCATATTCAAATATGCAGTGTTCAATTTCCGTGTATTATGTCTGTATTGTAGTGACTAGAAGTGAGCTCACGTTGTCCTTGCCACCAGAAAACAGACGGAAGGCGTAGTCAGACCGCTGGCTGATCACCAGGAAGCTCATGTTGCTGCCACCGGAGCTCATGAAGCTAGGCGAGATGTTGGCAAACATGTACTGCACCAAATACGAAATCAGCCAAGGTCAGTGAGGTACTGAGACCTGACCATGGTTAAACTCTCCATCAGAATTTTTAGGTGAAAAAAAAATCTTTGGGGGCCCGTGACAACCGACCTTGATGGGCGCCGTGGGTAACCCTGCTGCAGGCCCTTCTTCCCCTGCTTCTGCATTGGTGCTTGCGCCACCTCCGACGCTCAAACTGCACCAGATCGGCCGTGTGGAATTTTCATCATGACAGCCAACAAGTGATCGACCTTGAGCTGACGGGATGAGCCTATTACAGTATTACGTACCCGAAGTCGGCAGGCGAGAAGAGCGCGACCGAGTGGCCATCGGACGGCGCCGGCGCGGTGAAGTTGACGGTCACCCATGCTGAGTCCTCCCCCTGCGTGCCGGGCCATCCAGGTGATGGGCGAGGCCTCGCGCGTCGAACTCCCAACCCAACAACACGTTTTACGTTTGTACAGTGTACTCACGTTCTTGCCGAGCACATCGGGGGAGGCGTGGATGACGGCGGCGGAGTCCATCGCCACCTGCGCGGCCTGCATCTTCAGCGTGGACAGCGGTTGTATGTTGTCCGTCGTCGAGCCTTCCACTGTGACGGCCGCCGCCGCGGTGGCCATCATAAGCGCTGCGCGTTTCATATTCTCTGTATGTATCACCCCAAACCACCTCGGCCCACGGACCACGGCCCAGAAAGGATCAAGGTGGAAGAAACAAAACGCAAGGCGGCGTCCGCTGCCCTCCACTTCGCGTTCCGTTCCGTGTTTCCAACTCCGGTGACTCCACTACCAGCAACCCGCGCAGCGAACCCACTCCGACCACCGCCATGTCGAGGCGCGGCGACTGGGTCTACGAGAACAACGGCGGGTAGGCTCCCTGCCGCCTTCCCACCTCGCCAGCTGGCCGTATCCTATGTGTTCTCTAACGAGGGTCTGTTTGGTCCTGCAGGACCTGCGTGGCCATCGCCGGCGCCGATTACTGTGTCGTCGCGGCGGACACCCGCCTCTCTGTCGGATACAGCATCCTCACGCGCGACCACTCCAAGATCTGCGACCTGTGAGTCCCTGAACCCAGTCGCGTGCTTCGATCTGTCCGCCTGGGCTTTAGGGTTTCTGGATTGGGAGACACGAGTGGGATTTTGGTGTGGCGTGGGCTCAAATATTTGGGTGGTATAAGGCTGGATTCGTAGCAGGATTTGGTGCTGCCACTGGTGGATTTAGCTAAGGTTTGGTGTTTGGAGGATTGGGTCCGAAATTATGGGGAAATACCTTACATTTTGTAAGTTTTTTTTTCCATTTGCCTGGTAGTTTTTCGTTAATGGCTAGTTTGTTCAGTATGCTCTTTGTGAACGATAATGTTTGACTGGCTTGCTACTGTGGTATGATTTTTAGTTCATCAATCTGCTTACCTTAATAATGCTGAGCACACTGGATTACATGTGGTTCATTTTCCTAGTCCTAGCTTTATGTCCTGTGTTTGCTCTTTCATTCAGATGACTAGATCGTCATAGAACAATATGTTAGATGCTGCTTTCTGCATAAGAAGGGTAACATTCCTTGCTAAACAAACTTCTGGTTTTGGCAGATGAGCAATTCATTAACACATCATTAGGGAAGGGAGATGTAAGCTTGACATTTAGGTTTACTTATATATTGGTCTAATTGCTTGGATTTGACCGATTTGTCTCCTCAAGATTTACAATGAGAATAGCTGCCAATTGTGTGGTTTGCTGGTGCTGTTCCCAGACAGTGAAGTTGTTTGGTTCTAGAAGTAATGGAGCCCTCTACATTCTAGGGGATTTGTTTTATCGTTGCTTTTGTGGCTGTTAAGTATATAGAATTCTCTTGGGCCCACAACATATGGTATTGATATACTTAATTAGGGGTGATGAAATTTGGGCGTGCCCTGTTGTGGAAAAAATGTTTCACAGTGAGCCTTGCTGTCACCTCTTAAAACAGTCTTTTTGTTAACAGTTGTTCATAATATGCAGTTCAGTTGTTCATAAGATGCAGTTCAGTTGTCCTATTTGCGTATAATTTGTTTTTGGCAGGCTTTGGTTTGATGTACCACGCTTATTTGGTCAGTGTTGTTGGATAATGTTAAATGTACACCTACATACTGGTTTGTATTGCTACTGATATACATATGACTTACTAACGATCAATCTAAAGATGGTTGGGATCTTTGTTTCTATGCTCAGTTTTAGGGTTAGCCTCTTTTGCTAAAACTTTGTGGTGTGGAAGAGCGTCTGATGGCTACTGTTGATTATAACCCAATACTTTTCAATTTAAAGGTTTTTGCTCTGCAAACTTTTTTTGTCCTTTGCTTGAATGCCCATAGACGCACAACAAAAACCTTAATGAAAGTCAGTGGTGCATATAGTATAACTCAAATCTGTTTTGTTCACCAGTATTGTCACTATTGCGCTGAGGTTGCTAAGCTTTCTTTGATTATTCTGTACTTTATGAGAAAGATGGTTATCAGCTACTCCCTCCATTCCAAATTGTAAGTCATTCTGGCTTTTCTAGGTACATAGCTTTTGCTACCCACCTAGATATACATTATCCCTAGATACATAGTAAAAGCTACGTATATAGAAAAGCCAGAAATATGTGCAATTTGGAATGGTGGGAGCACCATTTTTGTCAGTGTTTGCAAAAAAATTGTCATTAGATGCTTCCCTACGCTCTTCAGCATGAAGCAGAGCCCTGGTATGCTGTATAGGCCATATGTGTACAATTAAACACGTAGTGGACCGATGAGCCCATAGGTGGCGAAGAAAACAAGAGAAGGGGTGAGGTTAGGACCGCCAAATGGTTTGTTGGGTGTGTGATTCCATCTATGCTTACCTCATGGCGTCCATTCTCCTGACATGCAGCTAGTGGTTACAATGACATAGATGTTTGTAACCTTGTTTCCTGTGTTATGTATTTTTTAGGTTGTGATTTCCCTTCTGAGTGCCTTAGAATAAAGATTCTCTCTTCATGTGTGTAGGGCTGACAAATGTGTACTAGCATCTTCTGGCTTTCAAGGTGATATTAAGGCTCTGCACAAGAACCTAGCTGCCAGAGAATTGGTAAAATTTACAACTAAAACTCCTATCAGCGTCTAAATTGTTTTATATGTTCATTCTATCATCCTTTTTGTTGATATCAAACAATTCTTTTATATCAAGCGCCATAAACTGCGCCAGCACTGATGCAATGTTGTCTTTCATTTGTTTGTATATAGCTATACCAACACCAGCATAATAAAAGGATGAGCTGCCCCGCCATGGCACAGCTCCTCTCCAATACCCTGTACTACAAGCGCTTCTTCCCATATTATGCCTTCAATGTGCTCGGTGGGCTTGACAGTGAGGGTAAGATTTGTTGCTTTACTTTCTCACATTTCTTGTTTGATGAACACTCAAAAAAACATGTTGTGTACTTGCACAGGGAAAGGATGCGTTTTCACCTATGATGCAGTAGGTTCCTATGAGAGAACCGGTTACAGTGCTCAGGGAACGGGGTCTACTTTGATCATGCCAGTCCTGGACAATCAACTAAAATCACCAAGTCCTCTATTACTCCCTGCCAGGGTAAACCCTGCACATTTATATCTTCTGAGTGTTTCTTGCAGTGGTTCTGTACAATGAGCACCAATTTGATCAAATATGCATTCACATATATAAGTGAATGGTGACTAGAAATAATGATAACAGCAGATAGCCTAAGAATCTTTTCAATATGCGCAGGATGCTGTCACACCATTGTCGGAGTCAGAGGCCATCGATCTGGTTAAGGATGTGTTTGCATCTGCAACTGAGAGAGACATCTACACTGTAAGCTGCATTTGCTCATTGCCAAAATTGTGCGCCTGTTTCTCTTCGATATATATCCACTCTGCTGATCCACAAACATGCAAAATATGCAGGGGGACAAGTTGGAAATTGTTGTCATTAACAAAGCCGGTACTAAGCGTGAGTACATCGAACTGAGGAAGGACTAAGCCTCTTGCTTCAGTAATGCTGCAGCTGCCATTTGCTTCGAACTTGTTCCCTTGTCTGGAGATTTATGTCTAAAGCTGTTGCTTCATAGAAACACTTGTGTTTACTTGCCTATACTGTACCAGGATTCAGTCAGCTTGTTTTTTTGTCGAAACAAATTGCATGGATACTGAAGCGGTACTTATTGGCGGAAAGGCTATATTTGGTTGGTTGGGAGCCTGACATGAGTGGATCGATCCGAAATGTCACAAGCCTCTTTAGATCTCTTCTACTCGCTCAGATTCAAATTGCCTTTTGTCTTTAAAAAGTCAAGCTTTTCAACTTCTATATACTATTCTCCCTCCATTTCAAATCATTAGACGTTTATAAATTTTTTAGATATATTGCTCCCAATATGCATCTAGACATAGTGTATGGCACTATGAACAAATAGTGTTTTTTTCTTCCACAATAAATCAGCATAAGCCAAATTTTAGCAAAGCGAATAGGTCTATGTCTAAGTGTACAATAGAAGTTATATCAAGTTATATCTAGAAAATTAAAATTCTTACAATTAGAATATATTATACTATATTCATTTTGTTCTGGCTTTTTAGCTATATTGTTTATGTTACACACTTATACATTAATCTATCTATATGAGTAGTAAAAGAGAACGACTTATAATTTAGAACTAAGGGAATAGATATAAAATTAGGAGATATAAGATTCTTTGGATCACACCTTTCACAACGGAGGAATAACAGTAATTTTAAGGACGATCCACTAATTCTTCTACGTAGTCTTGACGATCCACATTGACTAATTATAATAGATACCAAGATTTTATTAGCAAATAAGCACTAAAATGACTCTATCAAAATTCAAACAATTTCAAGCTAGGCACCATATAGTAAAGTACGATTTAGAAAAAAAATCTAAACCAAGTTTCATATGAGCTAAAATAAATTTTCTATAAAATTTCTAAGATTAAACCAAGTTATAGGATTTTTAATTGCATTATTTTTCCTGTCAAAAATATATTTGGATAGATTATTGAATTTTTATATTTTTTATAAATCTATTTCTAATTTGATTTACCTTATTGATTTTCAACTTAGTCTGGTTTACCCCTCTGATGTTGCGCTACAATCAGTAAAACCACCATCAAAACCAATTCCGGTGTAAAAGTAACTAACTTTTAAAAGTTAAAAAGATAAAAAATTGTTCAATAGATTAGATTAGAGAGGGAAACCCGGACGACCCACACGAGTTGAGAGGTAAATTAGACCTTTTCCGCTCTAGAAAAGGAACGAGGCCTGTGTTTTTAACCAGGCCCAAGAACAGCGTTTGAGGGCCACCTCACCTACTCCTAAAAAAAAAAAAACAAACAAACAAAAAAAAACTTCCCGTCCCCTTCCACCGGCCACCTCACCAACTCCCCTACAAAGCCGCCGGTCAGGCGCCGACCGACCGAAACATCGTCTTCCAAAGTGTTCGCTGCCCGCCTGCCCCCATCAAGTCCTTAACTACTCTGCCACCAATCCGGGGAGGAAGCAACCCAGCGGGAAGCGGACATGGCGGCGGCGAAGATAGCGCCGTCGATGCTCTCGTCGGACTTTGCCAACCTCGCCTCGGAGGCTGAGCGCATGGTCCGCCTAGGCGCCGACTGGCTACATATGGACATCATGGTACGATCCCCTTCCCCACTCCGGCCAATTCCGTCTCATCCATCGCCGAGGCGCAGTACCGCTAATAGGAATACGGTAGCGGCCTCTGATCCGAGCGATAGTATTTCTGTGCAGGGTTGAGTACGCTGTAATCGTGTCCTATGTCGTGGGCAGGATTGAGCTACCTTTGACTAACTTGCCGTTGGATCCTTTTTTTTTCTCGAACTTAGAGCTGGCGAATCATTTTGAAGAAGAGTTTGCAGTTGGATCAATTACTATGCAAATTAGGTTTTATGCGATACTGTGGCATTTAGAGTGATCGATTCTCGATTCTGTAGGATTTGTTCAGAATTGGTTGTTGGCCCTCTCGTGTATTACTATGTGCATGTCTTCATGGAAAAAGTTAGTTGAATATTGACTTTTAGAGTATGAAAATCATGCTTGCTTTAGTATCAGTTTCCTCCTAATACAGTAATGCTGTACTCAAATGTACTGATTTGCTACTGCAAACTGCTAGCTCTCGTTTTGTTCATGGTACTTAGTAGTTATCCGCTCATGTCTTCATTTTCGCTAAATTCTGCCGCTTCCATTAACTGGCTTTGTTTCTGTTCACGTCTGTATGATTGATGATATAAATTTTCAGAATTGAAAGCTTATCCTATGCTAACTTCTGTTCTTATTACTCATATTTTCTTGTAGGATGGGTGAGTTGGTCTCTAATTCCCAATGTGGATATGTTACTTCTATTGTGGTTTGCTACTGAAGTGTCTGGTGGTGATAACTCTCAAGTATCATTCGCCTTTTAAGCCGCTAGCATGACTGTAAGGTCGCTTACCCCAGCTTACAGGAAGTGATTTATATAATGAATACATGCCTGAAAGTAAAATTTTCATACCCAGATTGTCACTGTCCTTCAACTCATTCAGACCCTCATTCTTGTTCAGTTTTCACCTCTTCTTGTCTGCTTTAGACATCTTACTTATCAGAATATTCAATACATACAGCAGCATTTTGTGGAGTCTTATGATAGATTTTCTCTACAATTAAATGGAGTCCTGCACATAAAAAGGGCATGGAAACAATAACACGGAATGTCCTATGGACCAACCTGAAAAAGAAAACAACATACTTTTGATTTCGTTTTTTGCATATTTTTTTGGAATGAAACCCGGTCATCGATAAAAGCATAAGGGGTCTGCAAGTTGCAAATAATGAAAAAGAAAGTACTGGTAAGATTTACTCAGATATTTCGGGAACTCTTTTGATGCCCTTTGAGAAAGAAAGTATCAGTAAGCATGAAGCGTCCAACTGCCAATCAATATGCCGTTCACTTCTATTTGTTGGATTTGGATCAAAGATCCAACATTCCTTGAGCGTAAATAGAGAAAATGAACACTTCTTTTTTCAAGATGGTGAAAGATACTTGCTAGCATAGTCCATTATATGAAAGATACACTAGAAAAATTTATCTCCAGCTCTGAGATCCATGCAGATTTGGAGTTTGTAGGATAAAATAAAGTGTTTTAAACACACATGTTCAATCCAAAATAATGACAAAGTTGCTTAACTAAATAATGCCAATGTTCCCACAGTTTCGGCCCCAAGAATCTGTAGAGCTAGGAGTGAGGAAGCTCCAAAAATTATTGGATCTGGAGCTGTGCGAAATATGGTCTAATTACAAACAAGTGCCAAGTTTTTCAGTGCCATTACTTTCTTTACCAGGGATCAGTTTTTTAAAAAAAACCTCTCAAGTATCATCTTAATGTTAAGCTATTTTGATATCTGAAAAAGGATTGATCATCCTTATAAGTTATGAACTTTGAAGGACAAACCTCCAATTGTATTTGAAAAAAATTGACGATAATCACTTCTGAAGCTATCGTTTAAGTATTTTATTTTAACTTTTCTGTCTATTTGCAAATGCAGGCACTTCGTTCCTAATCTGACTATTGGGGCTCCAGTGATCCAGAGCTTGAGGAAACATACCAAGTATAGTCTTTTGATCCTTTGCTATATGGATGGCTTCTTATTCTGCATAGTCCCAGTGGTTCTAACTGTTGGTTTTTAGAGCATATTTGGACTGCCATCTTATGGTCACAAACCCTTCAGATTACGTAGAACCATTTGGAAAGGCTGGCGCTTCTGGATTCACATTCCATATAGAAGTTGCTAGAGGTGAACACACATCTGTTGAATGGCCTAGTATTTTCAGTTCTCCTCTTCTTATGGAAAAACTTGATGCAGACAACTGGCAAGATCTCATCCAAAACATCAAATCAAAGGGTATGCGGCCTGGTGTATCATTGAGGCCAGGTACTCCAGTGGAGGAAGTTTTTCCCCTGGTAACTTCAAGCACTCACTACACCTTGTGAACTTACCATGTTATACACAGAAAAGAAACCTTTCATACTAGGTCGGAGTAATGGTGTTTTATTTTCACATGCTCTTAAAAACTCTTGAAATTTGTTGTGAAATGGTGTTTGTTGATATATGTACTTACAATTCTAGCGAGTATGTCTTTGTTAACTGCTAAACTCTTTTGATCAAGTGACCATTTTGCACAAGTACCTCTTATTTCTCTTGTTCAGATGTTCATTTATTATGACCACAATACATTTGATCACTAGAGTAATTGTACTATGCAGTGCATTCTTAATTCCACATTAAAGATCACTCTTTTGATCAAGTGTGCTGCTTAGACCTGTTTCCATATAACCTTTTCTACCATCGATCTAGAACTTTCAGAACCCTTTTCAGTTGTATTTCCTTTTCTCTGAATGCGTGACATATGGACATTTCTTGCTATGGATTTCGTGAAGCTACCGACAGTTGTATTAACAATTAATTTTACAGGTGGAAGCAGAAAATCCGGTAGAATTGGTTCTTGTGATGACAGTCGAGCCTGGTTTTGGTGGTCAGAAATTTATGCCAGAAATGATGGATAAGGTTTGTTCTCATTGTTCATTATTCTATATTTCTGATGTTGAACAGTTATGTTCATTTTCTGCCATCTGTGTGAATTAGGTGCGCACACTGAGAAAGAAGTACCCTTCCCTTGACATAGAGGTCTAATATCATCCGTCTTCTTTGTCTCATAGGATTTTTTCTCTCCATCATTAATTTCAATTGGCTGAAAATACTTTATGATTTGTTATATCAGGTTGATGGTGGTCTAGGCCCTTCAACCATAGATGTGGCCGCAGCTGCTGGGGCCAATTGCATCGTCGCTGGAAGCTCTATATTTGGCGCTGCGGACCCAGGAGCCGTCATATCTGTGCTGAGGAAGAGCATTGAGGGCTCTCAGAACAAAAACTGATTTTGGTGTTTCTGCTGTAAACTAGTTCCACCCTGGCACGTCAGATGAGCTGATCCTCAGCGAGAATAAAATTTGATGTTGGCTTTGATGCCACTATCATGTAACCCACACATTTCTTTTTCGAAGGACGCGTAAAGCTGAACTTTTGCAATACGCCTTTTGTCTGCTCTGATTATCTTCTTGTACCCCGAAATATAGCGCTTGCTGTGCCGTCAAGAAATGGCGAAACATTGGCATGGCTGTTAACAAGCAAGTAAACACGGCTATAAGAATCGTGCTAATGTCTACATACTTGTGGATATCTCGTCATTATGCACTTTCTCGTTATAGACCATCTGAGGTTGAGCCCTCCACTAGCAAACACGAGGATACAATTTAGCACACACACCTCGTGCAGTGCATGGGAACCGTTTTTAGTTTACTACCGGGACGTCGATACGGCACCTACCATCTGATTAGGGCCCATTCGCTCGGACGGATTCTGAAAAAATTTGTGAGAGGAAAAACGCTGTTTCGGAAAAAAAAAATAGATCAAGCTAGATTTAAGGGCACGCGAACGGGCCCTAGGCCTATATATTGTAGTATACAATTCTGGACAAATCCTATAGAATCGATAATCGGTCACTCTGAACCACTGATGACTGTTGATAGTGATATCGATACATTCGCACTCGACGGTGCATGATGACAATGCTCGTCCTTCCGGTCTGCATAGACAAGTGAACTGCCAAGCGCATAGCTGCAGACAGGCGAAGCGAACCAAAGCATCCGATCTGCCGGTCTGCCACTCTGCACTGCGCTTGATCCGTATGCGCCTATGCGGTGTGCCGGTGTGCGCCTTACGCTTCTCGTTTCCCCCTCACCCCAGGCCTTCCTCCATCCATACTGGCCACCGCTGCCGACGCTTCGTTACGGGTGATATGCTTGGTATAGAAAATCTTAGGAAATACGGCAAGGGAAGATCATATGTCTAATATATTTTTTCATTGCAGTGATACAAAAAGTTGGTCTATTTGGTATATTAAATATTGGGAAAATATAAGAAGAAAAGGTAAACTTATATCAAATAATATGCTTAGGACTATCGGTAGTCGTCTGCCGACATCACGGGCCCCTTCACGACGAGCCATCGTCCTTTTGGAAGTTCGGAAGGATTCAACATCTTCCCATGTGGCCGACTCTCGGAGGAAGAAATAATTACCATTTTCTCACAACAGATAAACGAACAGGGCATGCTCTCATGTTGCAATTTCTAGATAATAATTATATCGGTCCATAATTAATTAAGCCACTGATCTACCAGTGGTCCGAACTGTGCCAAACACACATGCTGTTATTAATAAAATCTGGTACGATGAGCAAACTAAATAATAAATGGCATGTTTGTTTGGTCGTATTTGGCTTATAAGCCATGGCTTATCAGCCAACGAATAGTATTTTTCTCTCACACCAAATCAGTCAATAGTACTTTCAGCCATGGTTTATAAGCCAAACAAGCTCAAACGAACAGGACGAAGATCTGGTAGCGAATAAACCTATATTAGTGGTGATTGGTGAAGCTGGTAATGTGCAATCATCATATTAATTAGACATTTCACCTTCATTTTAATTAATTTTCAGCTTGACGGTAATGGGTCGTTTTCTCCAATAAGTAAAAACACAATTGAAAGTTCTAAGTGCCAAACTCTGTTGGTTCGACTTGTACTCGACGGAGAAATTGAGCGAGTAGCTTCCCGACCAGTGATCTTTGTGGGCTTTTTGAAAAAAGCTATTGAAAAGGCTATCACGGCCGCCAATGCCGGACCGAGACAAAAAACAGCTATGGAAAAACAGTTGTGGCAAAAGTAGAAGGCCATTTGGTTAGCTGTGAAACCATAGGCTTTGTAAGGCCTGGGAGACTGTTTATATTCAAATTGCTTCTAAATAACGGTTAGAAGCGGCGGCGATGGTGCCGTAGTTTGTGACGAACTTACGGTAGTAGCCCGCTTGATCCAAGGCCGAGAAGTGGCGCTGCGTGGTACGGTCCTGCCAGACATGGAAACGCGCTGGCGCGATGGTCGATGATAGTGTTTATTGATTTGCATGTAAATGAATATTTTAGAATGAATGAAAAAAATAATTTTTCTAAGTTTTGTATCATCTTGGTGATATGGTCCACAAAAATATAACAAATACTTTTGTACAGAAAGGTAAAAGGACTTGTCATTCATCAGTATAATTATCTTCCTCTTGCATTAACAAAAAAAGCATCAAGAGATGGAAGGATGGTTCACGCTTGTTGCCTGTATAGGGTAGGTATAAGTGTATTCTAGGTGTATTTCTTCTTTTATTTTTCTATAGGAAAACGGCGAGGTGACATGGGCGTGGCCTTGCTCGTCCATTACACAGCACGGCAGGCACAGAGCACACAGCAAGCAGAGCAAGCATTACCGTTCAGGCGTGCAGCAGGAAGGGATAGAGGAGCGGTGGAGGGTGGTTCACGGCGAACGGCGGTGATGGCAGAGGAGCTCTGCTGGAGCTGCCCGCTTGGCTCAGAGAAGAAGGGAGAGGCGGGGATGACCATCGCGCTGGTGGGCAGCTCCGGCTCCGGAAGACAGCGCGTAGGAGCCTGCGCTCACCCATGGCAGCCCCACGCCCGCGCAGGCCTGCGACGGCGGCGGATCCCGCGGCGGCGGCCTCACCCGCCGCTGGGGCTCCCGCCGGAGCTGCGCCCACGCCGGGGCTCGCCGGGCAGGGCCGCGCGCCGGAGCTCCCGCTGGAGCTGCACCCGCACCGGGTCCGCGCCCGCGCCGGGGCCGCTGGTGGGAGCAGCCTGACGCCGCCGCCGGCCTGTAGAAGTGGAGGGCCACCGCCGGCCTGGAGAGTAGAAAATGGTGTCCAAATCAACTTACAAGCCTATCCTACAATGGGTACTTATAAAGATTCTGTACATATAACTCATCTTTATCCCCTTAATGAATGACAGAGCTTCTGCTCTTACTTAAAAATAAACTTACAAAGATAGAAAATGTTCAAAAAATTAGTTTTTATTAACAAAATTAACGAGTGCTTTCATGTTAGAAAATTCTTCCACGTAGTATCACATTTTTATATGTGGTATCAATCATACAAGACGATAGTTCCACAAGTGATTATCAACTTTAGGTGATCATCAAGTGAAAAAAGTTCCCTCATATTAAGAGCTCAAATTTATCTAATGAATGACCTATACTATGACATAGGAGGAGGTGCCCCACCGATTGGTATCAATATCAAAGATCCTACATGGGTGATCTCAAGGGCAATGGTGGTGTCATTCCAACATTCGGTAGTATCCATAAAAAATGAAGATTCAAGTATCAATCATCTATCCTAATACAATCATTTGCATCAATGAGAAGCACACCTTTTATGAAAATTGATGATAAAGGGAAAGAAGTTGGAACAAAGATATGTAAATGCATCATGGGAAAAAGTAGAAGTTGGACATAGACGCCGGGGCTCGCCGGGCAGGGCCGCGCGCCGGAGCTCCCGCTGGAGCTGCAAATGCCGCCGCCACCTGGAGATAGAAAATGCCATTAACTGAGGGCCTATCCACCAATTGGCGCAGCAAAAATAGTTTTATTTTGCCAAAATCAACGAGAGCAACATTGAAGAATTGAGAAGGATCAAAATTCTTGGACAAGAGAAGCACACAAGTAGGGGAAGCAAGCTCATAAACTTTTATTGTTTGCATTTAATATGTGCATATTCATGTGTTTGCTTGCATGGTATAAGTTTTTAAATTTGATATGCATGCTTGTGTGGTGTATGCCAGCTGTAGAATTTGATCGATGATTTAAAAACTAGCATGCATAGGATGGTAGCTAGACTTGTGTTTTTCAAGAAAAATTAGAACCTTGCGTATATGTTGATCTCACGGGGTTTCTAGTGTTTTTGTTGTTTAGCTAACCATGGTGCTAAGGATGAACTTAAAGGTACAACTTCGATTGGTATCACGCATCAAAAGGTTAATTATTTACACCATAGCATCATTAGTAGTAATTACTCTTCCACAATTACAATCTATGCATATGTGCGAGCTTTAAACCAAACACTCTAGCACATATGTAGGGGGAGCTAATACTACCAATTTGGGTTTATAGTATTTGTCCAAAATTATTTACACATGGTAAAATTGATTGGACAAGAAACATGAATCCAAATGAGCTCAATTTCTATATCTTTATAGAGTTGTCATCAATTATCAAAAAACTGAAGATTGAAAGGTCTTTGTTTGGTTTTGATAATTGAGTGACAATCATAGATGGACTAATATGTGTTTGAGTGAGATACACATGTGATTAGTCCATAACTACATTATGTGTGAGCAACCTATGCCATGGAGGTGAAATGGTTTGAATATGTTGCAAGGCTCACACATGTGATGAAGGAGCTCATTGTATATGATACATGACATTGAGTCATGTGACTAAGGTGGAAAAGATCAAGACAAGACTTGGCTTAATGGACCGGTTGCAAGCGTGAAGGGCAAGTTGAAGGCTTTGGAGCGATGGACCACGTGGCGGTGAAGCTTGAGGAAGACTTGACGCCAATGAACGAAGACAACGGTAAAGAGCAAGTGAAGTCAAGATCGATGAACCAATATGGTCATATGATGATATGAAGTGGATCATATCATTTGTGATTGGTTGGTGCATGTGTTGCATCAACATCGGAGAAGATGGAATATCATGTGCAAGGCAAAGGTATAATCTATAGGGCATTTTATTTCACCGGTCATAGGTGTGTAGAGAAGTTTATGACCGGGTTTAGAATAGATGGCCGTACTATCAAAAGGGGCAAACTTGTTTGTATATCGATCATCTAGTGCCACTTGAGCAATCTAACTTTGCATCATTGCTAGGATCGAGTGGCGTGGTGAATTGAGTGACTAATCATTTGAAAAATATTTGTGAAAATACTCTTGGGCTATAAATAGAAGTGTTGGTCGGCCTTTGGCCGACAGCTGAGCACCCTTA